TGTCTGCTTGCCAACCAAAACAGAGAAGTGGAAACAATTGAGTTTACATCCCGACCTCCAATCTGTGTGATCCCATTTGCTTTGTCATAATATCACTTCCCCTTCACTTCAGTATCTAGGCGCATAACCAAGGCCTTTGTTTACGTTCTATTCAGGAATTGATTTTTTTTTTTTTTTCAGAGATAGACTTCCCCCAGCTGCTCCGCATGCACACTCCCCACAAAAAAATCACTCACTGTCGTTATAATCTCCTCTGAAAGATGAATATGTGTGATTCCTGCCCTCCCTCCAAGAAAAGTACTTTTTGTAGATGCTGTTTTGTTAGCAGACAAAGGGAATTGCTCTAAATCCTGGCAGTCTATCCCTTCAAATGTAATCTTATATATCACAGTGGACTCAAAACATTCTCATCCAAAGCAATATCTGAAAGATTATAGACCTCAATCCAGTGTTAATAGTGGTATGAAGGATGATTGTTCAAATCATTGTAGTTTAATGCAAACTGTATATGTCCATCAACTGGGGCAGAATTAAACTTGTGGAAAAAGCTCCTGTTTGTCTTCAAAAAGTTATGAAAATGCCAAAACCTTCTTTCAGTGAATCTTTTTTTTCCTTTGCCACATTACAAAAACAAGAAAAAAGTTGAAACTGTAAGGGCTGGATTTGGACGGGGCGAGATCCGGACATTTGATCTGTGGCATAATGAAGTATTAGCTTCCATTACAGTGCAGGCTTAACCTTTTTGCGGAGCACCATTGAGCACTTGCCAGCAGTCATCAATATTTAACAGCTGTTGCTATTATGAAATTCTTTATGGGCTAATGTGGCTCGCCGGCTTGCACGCAAGGCCTTGGCAGACTGCCAGCACCCTGTCAGGAGGAAGGGGGGGGGAGATTGACAGACGGCTCGCTCGCGTGACAACCAGCCCTTGATCAGCCAGCTTCTCTCTCTCTTTCCCTCTCTCTCTCTCTGTTGGTGTTGCTCTCTCTGCTGTGGATTTCCTGTGCCTGTGGAGAGAGAGAGAGAGAGAGAGACAGAGAGAGAGAGACAGAGAAGAAGAGCACTGAGGGAAGGGGGCGGGAATAGGCAAAGGAAGTGGCTGTAAGCCAACCCAACCTCAACACACACATATGCACACACACACAGTTTTCTCTACTCACGCAAGCCTTGTGGGAGGGGAGGGACTGCTGTGCTGCACAGCCTTTGCATGTTCAGGTCCGGAGCTCTTCTTTACAAGCCAGATGATCAGCTGCCAAAAGATGGCACCCGTGCTGCTGGAATCAGGGCGACAGACAGCCTGATCACATGGATGTGTTTGGGGGATGTTTTTCAATTGTAAGACATTTGAAAACCATCAGACTTCTGACAGAGACAATTTAAGTTTGACTTGACTTTCTTACCAATGGTGGAGGAAGTATTCAAATCTCTTGCTTATGTTAAAGTGCAATACTGTAATATAGAAATACATTTCCTGCTTTAAAATTGTCACTTAACTAAAATGGAAACATTATCAGCAAAATGTACTTACAGGATTAAAAATTAAAGTACTCATAGCAGGAAAATGGCCCCAGTAAGTGTTATTAAACACTCACATATTATAGTATTGGATTACTAATGCATTTGTGTGTGAGTCACATTTCACTGTTCGTGGTTGTCCTAATTTTAACTACTTTATGTACTGTTAGATTCAATAGTTCATTAGTGCATCATGTGTTTTGTATGTAAAATCTAATTAATCTGTAAAATAACTATTGCTGTCAAATAAATGTTGAGTACAGTACTTAAGTAAAAGTACTTAATTACCATTTAATTACTAACTCACTTATTAAATGTACACATTTTCAAATAGAATTTAATTTAATTTCCACTACAAATTCCTTTAAACTGGCAATATAAAGTTATGAATGTACTGAGACACTTTAAAAAAAGCAACAATAACCACTTGTTTGACTCGATTTGGAGTAGCATGCATGCAGGCTGGTATTTCCCAGGTTAAAACCCTGCAGCAGCTTGTGTGTGTCTATGAGAAGCCATGTACGAACACTTACCTGCTCCTCGCTGCATATTGCTCTGGAACATGAGCTAAAGAACAGACCTCCAGTTCAAAATGCATGCTACCCTTGTACTCACGATTCATATAATGCTTTGAGTCATGCAACGCTCTTCTACAGCACTCTTCAACATAATGTCATGCCATGCCACCATTGAATCTAATGCTCTAATGTACAGGACTGTATTGAAATATTCATTTCTGCACTTTTCATCATTTTGCGAGACATTTCTTTGTGTTTTATCTCCATTATCCCCAGAATGAGAGCATGTCAGTGACACCATTGGCCCACAGAGACTTCTCTCCCCCTTCTCTTCACTGTTTTCTCTTCATATTTCTCTTTTTCAGCTGCTCTTGGTAGAGTGGGAGGAAGTGGCTTTGGAGCAGAGGGGGCTGAAAACAGACAAACACACCCAGACTGTGCTGCACACACCCGAATGCTACACAGCCAAACTCAAATCACCCCCTAGAGGTTGCAGAAATTAATACCTGATTGATAGGGACTGTGGCCTAAGCTCAGACATATGTACACTCACACACTCTTTTTTTCTCATGTGCTCATTCTTAGTCTCTGACAACAAGCAGCAGTGAAAATTTTGTGGATGTCGAACAAATTCAGCAGCTTTTTTCACCTTAACAGGAGCACCAGAAGTAATTATTTTGGCACGCAGCATTCATATCACATTTCACAGATCTTTCCTCACGTCCTCACAATCTATTTCCTTCATATTCCCTTTTCGTAATATCAGATTATCTTTTAATTTCAACAAATTCAATCTGCTGTCATTAAAGGCTCCATAGTTGCTCATCAAAGGTTTTCTTCAGCGAATTGTGACTTAAATTGTGCAAATTGAGGCACACTGTAGCTTAATATTTGGCGGGTGGTCCTAATATTTTGCGTACTAAGTGGAAGTGGAAAGACAGACCTGGTCGACTAAAGGAGCTAGACACTTTCAGCCTCACCCTTTGGCAGCATCTACATCCCTCTACTTGTCACTTTTTACTTAACACCCCGTCCTCACACAGAGCACATAAACGCCTCATCATTACCTACTCTGTTTTCCTTTTAAGACCAGAAAGGGAGAAAATAGAGGCAAAGAAAAGCAAACCCGAAGACACGAGCGATGATGAATAAAGCTCGTATTGTTGGCAGAGGAAGTGCTGGTGCCGATAATTAATCATCCCATATGTTTGTCTTTCCTGACGCTGCATCCTCTCCAAAAGCTGCCGTAAGAGAGAAAACAAAAATACATGAGGCGTTGAAGGAGGAAAATAAAGAGGCTTATTAGATTCATTTCCCTCTGCACTACTTTCCACTGGTTGGATGATTTTGCGGTGATTGAAGAGAATGGTGTGTGTGTGTGTGTGTGTGTGTGGCTGTCTGAGTCTATTTGTTTGTGTGTGTTAGCACCTAGCGGAGGTGATGACAAAATACATAAAATTATTACTGGCATTTATGAGTTTACGAAGCTGCCTGTCAGTGCAGTCATCAGCGTTCTTAACCGTATTTCAGCAGCAGAGGCGCACATTACGGCCTTTATTTTCACTCATAGCTTGAGTAAACCTGCAACTGGGGAAATAAATGATTAAAACAAGAAGCAAATTAATCCAGACTAAAATGTATGGATGAAAAAAAAAAGGAAAACAGGCGCATTGGCTTTGCGTGTTTCAGAGTGGAATTAAGAGAAGGGAAACTCTTCCAGCATCACGAAATCGGTTGTCGATCGCCTGCGATGCCCCGAGTTGAACAAAGAAAGGGTGGAGAGATGAGGAGGAGGAGGAGGGTTGATGGGGTAGGAGTGTGGGGGGGCAGGGTGGACAGGAGATTGCAGAAGGTTAAAGGGGGAGGAAAGGAAGCCGTAATGGGGTTATTTGATGGGGGTGGGGACTATACGAAGCATGGAAAGATACATACATACATACTTAGATATAATAATGAGGCTATGGTGTGTGTCTGTGTGTGTTGCGTGACTAATCTTTGCCTGCTACAATGAGTGACGGAGCGTAGGGCTGATCTCTTGGAGTGAGCCACATGCCCCCTGACAGCACACCCATAAGAGAAACACGCAAACATGCCTCCAACACGCAACACACACGTCACCAATGCACATGTGACAGTTTTGCACGCCACACTCATATAGGCTAATTGCATGTATACACACTCTGGCATGGTAGTAGGTAGTAGGCCTTCCATTAAGGCAGAAAGAGCATAGTATAGTGGTTGATGGAGTACTTACTTGTGATATTGTTATAACTTTGGTTGGTATTTCTACTCTATTAATATCAGATGGCACAAAGATTACAGACACTTTAGCAAGTATGTGTTTGCAGAATTTTATGAATGAAGAACAGACCCCCAGTCCAAATACCTCAATTTTAACAAGTTCCTATTCAGTTTTCAAAGATTAATTTCAAATTCAGTGACGATTTTCAACAGAAATGAAATAATTTTCTCTCTTCGATAAACGTAAAACTCCCAAAGTGCACTAAATGCTGTCCTCTACCTCACTCTGTGTGTACAAGCGAGCTTTGAATGTGCATGTGGCCATATCGTGTGAGACGAATCCCGTAAAGTCATGAAATCCTCCAATGTTTTGTCTTTTTGGACCGGCCCACCGCTCTGGCTAATACCTGGCGTTAGCGCAGTGCCAAAGGAGACTGATACAGTTAATGTGTCCGCCATATGTCTGAGTGTCTGTCCAACTTTCTCACTGCCATATCAAAGAGGTTGTGGGAGAATTGTTGAGCGCTGGAATCATTGTTGTTATCATTCTCAGTGTTTCCTGTGTTGACAGGGCTCTGTGTTCTGAATGTGCAGCAAAACAATATATTAAAGTCAAGAATGTGACCTGTGTAATGTGTGCTTGAATTTTTTGTTACCATTTTTTACATTCTTGAACCCTCAAGTTGCTATTAGTTTATTTACCCTTTTTCTTTTTATGTCTTACAGCAAACCCAGATAAGACCTCCAGGAAGCACATCAATAGCACAGCATCCTCTAACTCTGAACCCAGGAAAGAGAGCCTTCCAGTGGGCACCGGTGTCAATGAAAGCAGCCTCCTCCTGGAGGTAAGAAACCACATGGCCGCTGTGTGTATGTGTATCTCGTGGAATATTTCTGTGCGTATGCAAACGCTGTCCTTAAGCTGTTTTAATAATCCCTTTTTATTTTCATATCGTTGCCTTTTTGGCTGTGCTTTCCTCCTCCACGTCACCGTCGATGAAATCCTCACCAGTTTGCATACACGCCACTCAGGGGACCATTTTTGTCTGAGTGACTGGGTGTGAATTGGGAAGGGGGGGCAGGGAGGGTTTTTGTGTGTGTATGCGTGTGTGCCCTCCGCCCTTTGCCCCGACCTCCTTTGCAGAGCTGTGGTGTTGCGTGACATTAGGGTGAGACGGGAGTGTCGGAGCTGATGAAGGAGGTGGGGACTCGCACACGCTGGCGGCTCGAGCAGCCGGTTTGTCTGTATGAGTGCACCTCTGTCTGAATGCATGTGGTCGTGTGTGAAAGTGAGCAGAAGAGAGTGAGAAGAGCACACCAAGCCTGTCAGCAGTAATCAGAGCAAACAGGAGATTTGTGTTTTGTCAGTTGACCTAAGACCTTTAATCAGATTTTAACCACATATTAATTATAAGTGCACATCTTTAGGGCATGACAAGTAATGCGGAGATATGTTGTTAAATTCCTAGAAAAACTTCTGAAATGTTTCTGTTGAAGGCTTTAGAGCAGACAGACACAGAGTACAGCGGCACTACATGGGAACTGTGAGAGCATCAGATCATTGCTACACAATCAATATCCTAATGGCTGTCTGTCAAACAACAAATTATGACACTGATCATCGCCCAACAACTACGTGCTCATAAACACACACACACACACACACACACACGCACACACACAGAGCTGAGATGATCCACTGATGCTTCTGTTAATGTGTTAGGTTGTCTCAATGGGGTGGTAAACAAAAGGATAGATTGACTGTAGTGATGTGCTGCCTCCCGTTGCGTGACTCAACCTGCACCGGGGCCTCATAGCAAACTGTGCATTAGTTGTTATGGTGATGGAAAGAGACAGATATCTGTCTGTGCGTGTGTGTATTGTGTATTGTGTAAGTGTATGTGAGTGTGTATATACTCATCAAATATACAGTATATGCATATAAATACACAATATATTGTATATTTTATTGTATTTACAATATTTAACTTTTTTTTATATATAGTATATTTTATATATAAAATATGGAACATAAATAATAAGTCCACAGCCATGCTAACAGCTCTGTGAGGTTGTACTCAGGCACAGCAGTGCTTTGCGCTAAATGCTATTGTCCACATACCAACATGCTCATCCTGACAAGTACAATTCCATCCATCCACCTGTATTTATGTACGTTTAAATTTTTGCATCGATAACCTGCACAGAAATGCCGGAAATTAGATTAGAGTTAAAGTTTTGTATTAAAAAAAAGACAAAGAATCAAATTACGGATTAGGAGACACAAATTAATACATGAAAACAAAAAAGTGGGTTTGACTGGTACCCTTTTAATAACGTCATCTTGTTGTGCCATCTGCAATGGTTTAACAGCACCAACCGTTTTACTGTTGAACTGTTTATGTCAATGAACCAGCTCCTGTATTTGCATAACAATAGCGGATGGAAACAAACCAGTTAATTCGCAAATATTTTTGGCCACTTTCCTCGAATTCTTGTGAAAATGTGCACTATTTGGATGCAACTTGGCTGATGATAACAGGATGACATTAAGCAGGATGTTATCAGTGTTGTTTAACTTGTTCACCCAGAAACCAAAAACCGACATCACCATCCCTGGAGCTAACTTTTAGCTAGCATGGCTAAAAACTAAAAAGAAAATTAAAAGAAACTTCTGATTGTGTGCTGTAATGTGCTTCTTATGTGTGACTGTGGTTCCAGTCACTGGTTGATTTTCAACATTTTCCCAAATATAATTCAATATATCAGAATCCCGTATTATTCTAACCTCAGTATGTGTGTGAAGGATGTGGGTGTGTTCCCGGTGGCAGAAGGTCTCCATGTTTGTCATGACCTCATCATCACCGCTTTCATCTCACTCTGACAGCTAGACAGAGGCAAAACCGAAGAAACTCTGTTGAAACAATGAGACAAGTCTACCCCACCACCACCACCACCACCACCACCACCTCCCACCTCTTCCCCTCCCTCCTTTGCTTCCAAATTCAGTGAACCAATATTTTATTTTGGGCTCTGCGTGCAAAGCGCCTCTTAAGATTTGTAAGTCAAAGCTTTTAGTCTCCCAGGGGCGGTTATGGGAGCCGGGGGCGTCGTAGTTGCAGATATGTGGTGGAGCGAGCCAGCAGCAGGTGCCTGTTTCCATTACCTAAAGGCTTTAGTATGCAAGGAACTGAGGGAAATGTGAATGGAGAAGACATACAAAAACAGCATGCGCACAGTGCCGCCAATATTATAAAGTATTTGTTTCTTTGTTTCTTGTTTGGCCTTTAGTTTGGTTGTTTTTAATAAAGAAAATACATTATCATTATTATTATTATTATAGTTCTTTAGGCATTTTGCTGTTTTTTCTTTCCAGCTCTGTATATGAGAAATAAATTGTAAAAGGTCTGTCCTATTCCAACATAAATGATGGGTGTTCCCATAATGGTTTTGGACACGTGAAAAATAACTGTACTGTTCATGTACTGTATTCATCTGTAATATATTTGCCAAACATTCCATTTTGGAAAGCCAATTACAGCAATCAACCAACAAAATATACAGTTTTTTCCTGCAAGTCCAAGGCCTAGTTTGTTCCAGAAGAATAAAAATGTTGAAGTCCTTTAAAAAGAAAATGGGTTGCAGAAACTTAATGTGGCATTTCTATGTCTTGGAAGAGGAATGGAGAAAGGTGAACTGGCTAAATAAACCAAAATGAACCCAACATGTAAATGTTGGCCTTTTTATGGCTACATAAGACCTCCTAAAGGCAACATCACATTCAAGTATATTCACACCGTTTTCATGTCCATTTTTCGGATAGGCTCTCTAGATCACTGAGTCATTTATGAGACCACGTAACATTCCTAAATGCTTACATGTTTAAAGGTAAATGCTTGTTGAAGGCGAGCTCTGTAACTGAACCTACAATTTCTTATATGAATGAATTTGATGTCTTAATAGGGTAATCAACATCACAGCTTTTTACTCTGAATAAAGCTACACCACCTGAACACCTTATCTTTCCTTAGACACATGGTTTCAATGCAGTACAGATTCCAGATTTAGAAAGTTTCATAGTTTTCACACTGTCACAGTCACACTGTTTTTATAAATATATTAGATTTGGCCCCAACATGCTGTTACCAGATGTTTGTACAACCCCATGTAACCAATATATTAAGTATATTAGAAATTGTACTAAGCTGTATTGATCCCACATTGTCCTATCTTCATTTCAAAAGCTTCAGATCAGTCCAAAAGGTTCTGTTTCTTGCCCAAACCTTCCTTAGTAAGTGCTGAGTCAGGTTCAAAATAAGGGAAAGCGATTGTTTGCAAAGCACATACCTATTTGTGCATGTGTTATTTCTCATTAAAGTGGTAGCATCATTTATATTTGAGTGCCTGCTGGACAAAGCTCTGTGTTTGTGTTCGAGTGTGAGCATGTGGGGGGTCACCCTCCCCCTGGATGTCATGAACATGTGCCAGTTGACCTTGTCAAACAACATCAGCATCTACACCGACGAGAACCTGACTCACCTTCCCATCCCATGCTTCCCTCACCCATCATACATGTTTTGTACATATTCTCATGTCATAGTCGAGATATGTTTCTGTCTCAGAGTTGCTTCGTCACAGAATGACTCACGTACCTCTGGCTTTTAGGACAAATCGCTCTACATATCACAGACAGGAATCAGAGTGCATTATGTGGTTGGGATGGAGCAGTGAGCAGAGCATTACTCCCTTCGCTGAGGCAATCAGATCACTGTTGGGAGAAAGTGAGAGAGGGAGACATGGAGGAACAGCGAGTATGAGTGTGAATTTAGAGGCCACAGGGATATATACCACACACACACACACACACACACACACACCAGGGAAGACCTGCATAGTCTCGCAGTAAAATAGAGGTGACAGACTCTGGCAGAAGCAGTCACGCAAGTCAAGTAGCCTTGCAGTTGTCACGCTATCGCAGCTGTGCGTGCACACACACATGCACACACACACTGGAAGACCTCTTCCAAGTCTCCTTCCTGTGTTTTTGCTTCCACCTCCATCTGTCCATCCCTCCTCATGTGACTGAAGCCAGTTATGTATTTATTTAAATGTTCATTTTTAATCAACACTTGTCTCCGTAAGCTGTGCTGCTGGCCAAACATTATTCCCCTTGTGTGCATGGGTGTGTGTAAAGAAGAAAGTGGGAACGAGGCTGTGCTTGTGTCTGGAGTTTCTCTGCTTTTAATCTGTGTGTTTGATATCACAAATCAAAGCATGTTACAAACAGACTAAATGATCAAAGTTTCTGACTTATGAAATACATAAGTTTAAAGGGGAGCAAATTGGCGTGTATGTCATCCACAAGTTAACTGCTTTAAAAAAACCATGAGTCTAAATTCCACCAGAAAATATTCTAAAAAGGCTTTCAAAAGCATGTTTTTGCATTACAAATCAGCATGTTTTATTTGGCCCACTCAGTTCCATAACCATCTGTCTTTCATTCCTGCTCCAGTGTTGTATTATTCTATCTTTTGTTCCATTTTTACTGTTATTTGGTGTTCTGAGAATTATGGAAAGAATGATATAAATTGAACATTGTGCTAGAAAAAAGTCTGGCTAGAGTCAAATTCTGGCAGCGTTTTGTGTCTCAAGCTTAAAAAATAATTGTACAGTAATGACTGTACACAGTTGGGTTGCAAAAATAAAACCATTTGACTCTCTGCTGGTTGCAATCATGGCATCTAAAGTTAGCATTGCAAAGATTCACAGATTAAATGCAGTTGTTTGTGTTTGTCAATTATGTATTTGCACTTATTTGCTGCATGAGCTGCCCTGAGTCACCATTTATTTCTGTCTGTCTGTGTGTGTAGTCTCTAACAGGCTTTGCCTTGGTGGTGAGCAGTGATGGGATGGTCTTTTATGCCTCCTCAACCATTGTGGACTATCTGGGATTTCATCAGGTGAGTTGAGCATCTCAGTTTAAGATGTACAATACTGCAAGTAACATGCTGTGTAATGAAGTAATGATGCTGTATGACGAACTACAGATAGAGTAGTAGGTAGTGTCACAATGTGCAACATTTCTCCTAAAAGGAGGAAAAGGAGGTGTGTTGTCATTCCATCCCTTTTTACTCAGCTTTTAGTCCAACTCATCGCGTTTTGGGGGGAGTGACCCATGTACTGAGGTTAAGCCCTTGCTGCAGTGGCCACAGATTTGACTCCGACCTGTGGCCCTTTGCTGCGTGTCATCCCCCCTCTTTATCCCCTTGTCTTTTCACTCTACAGCCGTCACTATCCATTAAAAACAATAAAAGCCACCCCCAAAAAACGTATCATGTTTTTGACAAACTGTCAGTCGTCCAGTGGCCTCCTGCCTGAGGCTAAGGTAACCTGAATCCATAAAACTATTTCAGGAATTTAGGCAACTGACAGCAAACACAACCAATATAAAATGATTATTGAATATTCATGAATATTCAGTTTAAGGTTTCTTTCCTTCCCCCTGTTTTTCCTTTGTTAGTGTCTCTGTACCTTCTCTGTTCTATTGCCACTCACCTCAAAGGAATGATGTTAAAGAAACATTTTGGGAAATACACTTCATACGTGCTCTCTATTTCTTTAATAGGTTGGATCAATTATAAAATAAATGTGTAATCAAACAGATGTTTGAAAGCACAATTTTATACTTTTGATATCCCCCTTTCACATGTAATAAATCCGGCCTCTCACACAGCCCCTCTCAAGGTTCTCTCTCAACAAGTGTAAGAGATGTCTGCCATTATTCACCAAGTTCACCTTTCCCCTTTTTCACCCTCAGCCGATCATTTCTGTCCTCTTCCATCCACCCCTTTTCACTTTCTTTCATTTTCATCTTACAGTTAATGAGCCAGTCTCTCTTTCAGTCTGCCTTGCTGCTGCCTGATAACTCTATAGAGGGCAGAGCGAACCCACTAAGTCACAGCTAAGAGGCCACAGGAAGGTGAAGACCTCCATTTCACCCTGAGATACACTCTGTGGTGTGTGTGTGTGTGTGTGTCTGTGTGTGTGCGGGCACTGATAAGTCACCAACGGTTTAGCTTCCTTCCTCTCCAGCGGCTATACCCAGCCAGTCATTAATTATGGATGATGTCAACACGGGCTCGCCTGTCCTGCGATGCTGAAATCACCCCCCTCCTTCAAACCATGAATAAAGTGCTTTTCACTGTTAAAATCCCTCCTTTGCCCTCATGTCTGCTTATGCACGCACACACACACACACAGACACTTTTGGGTAAAATTCTTCTGGTACAGCGCTCCCACTTGGCTTACAAGCAGACAGGGGCAGTAACCCAGGGCCATGAAATCGACATGAAAACCAAAGTGGTCTGCAGAATCCTGCCACAGTGTCTATGTGTGTGTGCAGGGTGGCATGAGAGCCAGTAGAGACAGACAAAAGAGACAGTTTTTAGTGTGCATTTAATCGAACACAGAAAATGTTGCAAAATGTTGAAACATTTCATTTCATGCTGTCTGATGTAATGTCGGATGTAAACATGGAATACTTTTCAATAATATACTTAAAAGTATACTTGTAAATGTCATCAAGAGAGATTGGTAATGGCTATCTTCGCAGCTCAAATTTCAAAGAACGATGGGAGATGGACGTTCCAAATGCAGTTTAAATGGAAAAAATCTGTTCAGCCACTGTGGATATATCAATGTCTAAAGTCAACAAAACTGTCTTGCCTGCAAATTTGAGGGCGTTGGTTAAAAGCTGTAGGTGGGCGATTTCAACATTTTCACCCAGGGAAATACATTGGAGCTAGGGAAAAACATTATTTAGAACATAAAACCATTTGAAAGGTCTGCTTAATGTGATATTAAGTTAGGGAACATAGGAACCAGTGAACACATATTTACGCTCCCACATCAGCATACTAACATACTCACAATGACAAAGCTAACATGGTGGTGTAAAACAGATATAATGTTTACTGTGTTCATCATTTTAGTTTAGTGTGTTAGGATGCTAACATTTGCCAGTTAGCACTAAACACAAAGTACAGCAGAGGCTGATGGTAATGTCGTTAGTTTTGCAGGTATTTGGTCAAAAACCAAAATCCGACAGACCTACATTGCTGTCCCTAGACAGCGTAGCTAGAGAAGATCACATACAGTTATGTTTGCATTCAAATGAAGAACAAGTGAACATAAAAAATGTTTTTTTTTTTGTTTTTTTTTTCACTTTTCGATTTAGCTGTTTGATTCAGTGTTGAATGGAAAGCAAGGAAATGCACTTGACACAATTTAAATTCACTAAATCATGCCAATACAACCACAGCCAGCTTGGGAGCCAAAGCCTCCCAGCATGCAAAGCAGCCAAAGCATATAACGTGATAAGTTGATTTATGATCACCAAAGGCAAAACAAATCACTGTATATACACAAATTCCACTTCAAATTTAAAACATAGTTACTTTTGCCAATACTGAGAATCAGTGGTTCTATATAAGTTCTATATGAGAAACCCAAAATTTAAAGTGTTGTTGACGACAGTCTGTCCTTGCAGTACTTAGAAAGAAATATAATATTTCTTTCTAAGTACTCACAGATCATCACGTTATATTTCAGAGGCTGTGATCAAAACATTCTCATAGCCTTTCCCACATGTTCAATTCTCGCAAAGGAGCTATTGGTTGTTTTTAAGTCACATATTTGCCTCTAAGGCCTTGACAACATGTCACATAATTCTGAGCCCACAATTGTAGTCAGAAGGACACTTATCCTTAATATACCACAGGAAAAAAAGAAAAGAGAACGCTTCACTAAGTAACACCACAAGAAAGCCCTGGAGAAGAGCAGAAAACCTCCACTGGCCTTTGATCCCATTTGTTACTGGGGCAGTTAGCCTTTGAAGGTCAGCGAAAATATCACTTATTCTCCATTTTTTTTCCCTTCTTCTTTTCCTCTGTGTGTTTTTTACGAGAAACATAAACAATAGTCACTCGATCCGTCTGTCTGCCTGACTGCCGGTAGGGAACCAAACCACAGGACGAAGCGCCCGCCGAAGACGGTGGGAACAGATTGTGTTTTCAGAGGCAGGCGATCAAAAACCTTCGCGTGCCACCAGTGTGGAAATTATGGAGAGAGTGCGGGGAGGAGGGAGAGAGGGAAGAGGAGAAGGTTGAACATTTTAGTGAGGAATCTGTCATGGAATGACAGAAAGCAAAGCTATTGCTGGAAAAGAGAGAGAGGCATGACGAGAGTGAGCTGGAACCCAACTCACTGTGTGTGTGTGTGTGTGTGTTGTGTGTGTGATTGATGAGATGAGAGAGAGATGGGAGGGTAAGCTAGCTTTGACTGCTGGTTTCGTTGAGCTGGTCACGCGATGTTTTGGTACAATATACTACTGCCTCATGGCCCTACAGTTGCCTAGATCTACGTACTTGTGGTAAATTCTTCTTTTGTTTGTGTGTGTGTGTGTGCAGGCATACTGAATATCTAGTGTGCACGTATGTTTCTGTGACTTTCATTGACTGTGTGTGTACAGTATGGTCCTTGTGTGTGTGATTGGGGAAGTTAGCACGCTCCCTGGGAATCCCGAGGCAGACTGAGTATATCTGAGGAGCAAAGACTGGAATCTTCCCTCCAAACTACAACTACCAGCTGCACTGATGGCACCAAAACACAGTGGTCCAAAGTCAGCCTGCAGACGCTGCTGTGAACACGCAGTCTCATGTTTCTGAAGACTTTCAGTAGACACACAAGGAAACTAGAAAACTAGAAATGTCTCTGACTACATACATATGTTAATAAAGTATCTTATTTAAAGGTTCTATAAATGACATTCACTGCCACTAACATAGATGATCACCACTAGAGCACCATGCGTTCAGACCAAAAACAACAGGAAATCTCATCTCTTTT